GTTTCTTGTGGTCGAACTTCCACTGCAGACTTCCCCCTCCTTGGGCGCTGCCAGCTGCGCAGGCGTCTTCTCTGCCGTGAGCTCCTGGGAAGCCCGGCGGGGCGGCACCCCAGACGGGTCCTAAGTTAGACCTCGCCCTCCCTGGGCGTTTTGCCGACTGCGCAGCTGTCGCCAATGTCGTGGGCTCCCGTGAGGTCCAAGCGGGGTGGCGCCCCGGGCGGTACCAAACCAGGCCTCGGCCTTCTCCTGGGGGTGCTCCAATGGCGCAACTGTAGCCAGTTTTGAGAGTACAGTCCGCCCGCATAGTAAGGATGGGTAACCTTCCCAAGGGTACCCTTGCATCCTTGCCTTCTGGGTCCATCCTTGGCCACTCGATAGCCGCGCCCCGCTCGAGAAGCTTCGAAATGGGCGTCCAAGGCCCTTGCATCCTTATCGCACACCCTTATTGTACGAGTTGACTGTAGAGTGCGGCCCCACGCGAATCCAAACGAATCCTCGCCTTTACTTTGCGATCCCACCTGCGCAAACGTGGCCAGTGTGGTGAGCTCCTGGGAGGTGCAGCGGAGTGGCGCCCAGCGCAAATACAGACTACAGTCAAGGCGCTGAAATAAGGATCTTCTTTGGTCCCAGGAGTCGGATTTTGGGTCCGTTCCTGGGATCTGGGTCGGGACACTTGATCACGGTCGAGGTGGCTAGAACAGCCCTTTCGTTCCTTACTACGCGTTCCGTATGGTAGCACGATGACTGCACAGTCAACCCGCATAGTACAGTGGAGGCCCATGCCAAGAAACACCCTGCTTGCCTCCAGGGTGCGCTGGGTTTCTTGGTTTTCGATTGTTTTGCTGTGGAAAGCGTGACGTTCCCGCACCAAAAATCAAGAGACGCCCTGGGGTTTTCAGGGTTGGGCTTCTTTTGGAAGGTTTCTTGTGGACTGGCCTCCACTGTATGCTAGTACGATGACTGTACAGTCAACCCGCACAGTAAGGATGAACGTTGGCCCTCGGAGGCCCTTGCATCCCCAGACATGCGACGTCCTGATTTTTTCAGGACGGTGTCCCTGGAAGTCCCGACCCTTTCCCCGGTACCGGTTTTTCGTCCTGAGTCGTTGTTTGACGGGCGAGGGCCCCCCAGGGCCGAAAATAGCCAAAAGCCCCCCGTCCTGATTTTTGTTCCAATGCGATCCTGCCTGGGTCCTTCTCGTTCGTCCTTGTTATAAGGGCTGGCTGTAGACTTCGCCCTCGCAGAGGGCGCTGCCTATTGCGAAAAACCGACGCCCTCTCTTCGTGACCTCCTGGCAGGTCCAGGCCCACCCCTGGGGTTCAGGCTCGGGGCACGTGTGGAGCGTCCACAAAAGGGGCATCTGCCTTCGAGGATCGAAGGGGTTACAGTGGGGGTCCATGCGAAGAAACACACTGCTGGCCTCCAGGGTTTGGTTTTTCGGGTGTTGATGGTTTTGCGATGCGAGGCGTGACGTTCCCACACCAAAAATCAATCGACGCCCTGGGGCCCCAGGGTTGGGTTTCTTGTGGAAGGTTTCTTATGGACTGGCCTCCTCTGCACATGTGGAGCATCCCAACAAGGGGCATTGCCTGCGAGGATCGACGGAGTGACCATCTCTGCCTCGGCGGGGGGCGGCGGAAGGCCAGCGGAAGTCGGCGGTAGTAGGACGAGGCCGCCTACGCCGGCGGAGGCCAGCGGAAGGCTGGCGGAAGGCCGCGGAAGTAAACGATGCGCACCCAAGAGATGTCAAAGCATTTTTGGGTTCAGGGTTTCTGGAATCGGCACATGCCTCTTTGGCCACGCAAGGAGTGCGTACACAATTCGTGGGCCCAGGAGGGGCCTGGCGGGTGTCGGTGTCGCGAAGCACATGCAACTTCGTGACGAATCACGTCCACAGTCCAGGACCCCGTCTTTCTGCGCCATTTTTCACCGAGCGAAAACGCCCAGCGTGAAGAACATCGAGACGCCATGATCTCAGGGCCCTCAGGCTTCCCCTGGGGCATCCTGAGTCGTTTTTGACGGTCCTTGGGCCCAGCGAGGGCCCCCAGAGGCCAAAGAGGCTAGGACGAAGATAAATACGTTCTAGAGCGTTCCGGAATTCTCTTAGAGCGTTCTGTCACGCTTTGAGAAGGCCGCGGCACCCGAGGCATATTCCAGATCTGCCGCATCTGAGATATTCTCGATTCGTCCTCACCCGATTTTGTCCTCGTCTTAGCGGGGGGGGGTCCCTAAGCCCAGTCTTGCCAACGCCCGAATCGAAACCCTGGCGAAGCGAAAACCGGCGAAGCGAACCCCGGCGAAGCGAGCCCAGGCGAAGCGAAACCTTGGCGAAGCGGAACCGCGCCGTCCTGCCAACGCCCGCGTCCCAGATTCCCGACGACGTGATTTTTTCACAACGTCGACCCCCAGACGCCTGGACCCCTTCCACAAGACCCGTTTTTCATCCCGAGTCGTTTTTCACGGTCCCATGGCCTGGTAAAAGGCTCCCAGAGGCCGAGAAAGGGAGAATTTCCCGTTGCGATTTTTCCGCAACGCGAGGGGGTCTGGGCCGAAGCGGACCCTGGCGCAGCGAAGCCGCGGCAAAGCCGCGGCGAAGCGAGACCGCGCAGTCCTGCCAGCGCCCGAGTCCCGTCCCCTGGGGGCGCCCTCGAGGGGGGGAAGCGAAAAGGGGCGGGCCTTCTCAGAAGGCTCGGAAGCCCCCCCCCCGGGCTTTTTCGAAGCCTCCCCCGAAGACGGCACTCCTCGGGAGGCCGGAGGGCTTCTGAGAAGCCTCGCCGCCTTCGAGAGGGCCTTCGCCTTCTCTCTGGGCCTCCCAGACGGGGTCCGAGTCAATGGGGCATCGGCGATGCATCGCCTCTCTCCACGCCGACGTCGCCAGTGCATCAACGATGCATCGGCGATGCATCGGCGATGCGTCGCCGATGCATCGGCGATGCGGCGCGACCCTCCGACCCCATCTACTCCGACCCTGTCTGGGAGGCCTCCAGGGAGGGCCTTCTCCTTCTCGCTCCCCCCCCTCGCTCGCCGCCCACGAAGCCCAGTCCTGCCAGCACCGGCAGCTCGCCCCCCCCTCGAGGCGCCACGCGCGGCGCCCGCGCCTGTGCGCCGGGGGCGGCATGTCCTTCCTCACCCCCGACGAGGGGAGCTCGGCCTCCGCGAACTCGGCGAAGGCCCGGCCCCTCCTCTCTAAGCTTAATCGAAGAAGAAGAAGAAGAAGAAGAAAAAACGCCATCAACATAAACTTTTGGCGCTCCGCGTGAATTTCTTGGATCTGCGCTGTGGCCCCCCTGGCGGCGCCTCCGGCGCCGCTTTTGGCGCGCTCCGCGCGCCAGGGAGGGGGGCCCAGCGGAGATCCAAGAAATCTACGCGGAACGCCAACAGTTTATGTGTATGGCATTTTTCTTCCTCTACTGAAGTCGGGCATGTTCCCCTCTATGTTCGCTTGGGGGACCTTCCTGGAGCCTACCCATCGGATCTGGTCGACCCTAGTTCGAGTTCAGTTCGCGTCAAGTTCGGCTCATGGTCGACTCGGGTGCGATTCAGGTTTGACTCAGGGTCGACTCAAATCGACGGAAGTTCGACGCAGCTTCAACGCACGAGTCGAGCGAGTGTCTCCAGGAAGGTCCCCGGAATGCGCATCCAGTCCCTCTACAGGAGGAAAGTGCAACAATAGTAAAACAATAGTTTGCTGACGATTTTGCGTGCTCTTCCCAAGTCCGCCTGTATGATGACATGCCCGACCTAATTTTAAGCGGGCGAAGAACGGTGCCAAATCAGATTTTTCGCCGTCGGGAACGCCTGCCCCCTGGGCGGCTGGAAAGTTAATACCCCTACGTGGCACCGTGGGGATGTAAACTCTCCAGCCGTCTGGGGGGCAGGCGTCCCCGTCGGCGGACAAGTTTATGGTATACCGTTCCTCGCCCGCTAATTTTCGGGGAAGCGTAGGACTCGAGCGCGCCGGAGCTCGGGTTTGCCGACGCTTTTCGACGAGCGCGTCCTCAGAGGAGGAAAGGGTATTCATACTGCTACTTTCGCCTCGTTTTCGCCTTTTTGGGCCTCCTGGGAGGCCCTCGTCGCCACCGCTGGATTAGCTTGGACAACCTGGTCAGAATGCACCCCGGGAGAGGTCCTGGGAGTAGCGGTATAGGTACCTTCTGTTTCCCCAGGATTTTTTGGGGAAGCGTGGGACTCGAGTACGCCAGAACTTGGGTTTGCCGACGCTATTCGACGAGCTCGTCCTGGATTTTGACGGTCCAGTTTCCGTGGGATGTCTGCGGCGGGAGTTCGCGTCAAGTTTCAGATTTGGGTCTCGTCATTTCCATGATGGCCCAGCCAGGTCAACCCGAGCTGAGCCCCCCAAACCCGAGTCTTGATTACCCATCGGTCGTTGAAAGTAGGTATTGCGAAGGCCTTATGGCCCGTGCCGCCGACCCTGAATGACGACGGCGACGACGACGACGACGACGAGCGTTTTCGGGGGCCTCTTGGGGGTAGTTTGGGGGCCTCTTGGGAAGCTCTTGGGAGCCGCTGGGGAGCCTCGTGGGGGCCTCTTGGAGCTTCCTGGGGGTCTCTTGGGGGCCTGTCAAAGTCCGAGGTGTGATATGGGGCCCTCCGGGCCCTCAAGAGAATGTGTGAGGGCTAGTTTGTTCTCCTCTCGCGGGTCCCCACCGCGATGTCTCCAAACTAGCTAGTGCCCAAACGGCAGCGGAGTGAGTCAAGAAGCACTGAATCCACACTCCCACAACTTGAACGTTGCCTCAACTCCGACTTTGGGCTCGGCTTTGAACTGAACGCCCTCACATCACAAGAAAACTCTCCGAGCACAGCGCACGGAAGGCGAAAGCCACTCAGATGTTGATCATCTAATGAGACTGGTCCTCCGAGGCCGACGCCCTCGACGTGGGAGCACCCAAACGGCTCGGATAGCGCTCCGAGGCCGCCGCTCTCGACGACGCAGGCATCCAGCTCCCCATGGACATGTCATCACCGGCAACGGAGCCCTAGTCCACGGCAACGATCGGGGCCTGATCGAACACACCGGTCTGTTTCCACGCCTCCGGGTCATTCTCGTCCAGCATCTCGGGCTGCAGGCCACACTCCTCGACCAAAAACCGAAGGATCTTGTCGCGCCAGAGCGGGAAGTCCGCCATGTGCTCGCACACCGACACCCCGACGTCGCCAGTCCCGCTGTGGAACTCCGACTCCCTGGGCAGGCGAAGCGCCCGAGACTGACGGTAGCTGTGCTGTGTCCCGCCAGCTCCCGAGCTGGGAGGGCCGTCCCGGCTCTCCGAGTGGCCCGCCGAGAACTCGCCCCAAGCCGGGAGGCGGAACGAGTTCACGACGACCGGCCCCCCAGGACCGACCCCCCAGGCGGGGCCGGAGGCACCTGGTCGTTCTTCAGCGCCATGTGGTAGAGGCTCTCGAGCACCTTCAGGCGGTCGCGCATGCCGTCCTCGAGCGCGGCCGGCGAGTGCAGCGTGGTGTACCCCGTGCTGGCGTGGTACAACAGCGTGATCTGAGAGGCGCCCTGCTTGCCTGTCAGGCGGTCGTCCAGGACGCCCGCGCGGATCTGCACCTTGACCTCGTTGCTGGAACCCTCGATGTTGCCCTCGCCAGCCTCCGTCAAGCCCTCCATGAAGCTCCTCACGCCACTCGCCGAGTTCTTCGCCTCGATCTTCACCATCTGCTTGCAAACTCTTCGGGGGCTGTGGGGCCGCGAACTGTTTCCGCAGCGCGCGCTCCGCCGATGCTTGAGCCAAGACACTGCTCTCATCGGCGAGCTGGTAGGTCCCATTACGAACGCAACTCCGAAAAAGGTCGGCGGGCTCCGCCTTGTCTTTCGTGAGACAGTCCGCCAGCATCAGAGAGGTGGGACCCCAGCGCAACACAGCCCCGAGGCGGGCCAGGCTCTCCTTACTGATTGCAATATCTACCGCACACCTTTTGTCATCGATCCCAGACGGGCTCCCCATCTTGCACACGTTGTCGTAGATGCTCTTGCAGTCAATGGCCGCTAGAATCTTAAACTTACTTAGATAACGAGCCCGACCTCCAAGAGTGAAGCCTCTGAAGAACCCCTATGGCGAAGAAACACATGACCCACTCCAAGTGCCCGAGACCGTCGGTCATCACTGACGACTCCCCCGCCAAGGTGGACTTGACCACCCGCTTCACCCGATAGCTCCTCCATATCGATGGGCTCCACGGAGAAACCCTGCCTAGCTCCATGTCCCTGTTAGTCACCCCGATGATGTAGCCCCCCTGCGTGTGGCCCATGTTGGACATTTCTTTCGACGAGTAGTCTGAGTGGAGGCTGAAGGTGAGCTCGTCGATCGGGATCGAGGGGTATCGGATTTCGAAGTCCGCGAACTGCTGAGCACGATGAGCCAACATTTTCCCTTTCCGAATCTCGCCTTCGGTGGGGGGGGGCATCTTCTGTTGGTTCGAGCTCACGAGGACGCTGAGGTCTGGTCGGGCCTGGGCCGCCAGCCAGTTCCCCCGCTGGTTGAGGGAGATGAAGTCTTTTATCTCTGACGGGACCGCCAGAGCATCAGCACTTGCATGTCGGCGGGTCGACACCCGCTCCATCTCCTCAGAGGCGTACTGGTACTGCGTCTGCACGATTGTGTAGTCCGAGAGTTGGCGCAGCATGGGCCCGACGAACTCGCCCTCCTTCTCGTGCCACTTGCGGTAGGGGAAGCGGCGCCTCAGCTGCCACAGTACCTCGGCCCATTTGGATCCACGTCCTTCGAAGACGCCGTCGTCCACGTGCTGGCCGATGGCTCCGCGCAGGTCGCCAGGCGGGGCCGCTCGAAGTGGCTCTGCTCCCTGGCCGCCGATCGCGCGGCAGTCGCCCAGGTCGAACTCCGCGGGTTCGCCAATGTCCTCGAACAGCGGCAGCAGCACGCACGGGTCCATTGGGCGTTGCGCGAAGCCCAGCTCCTCGATCAGGAACTTGCTGAAGGTCAACCACCACAGCTGAGGCTGGTCGCTCCTGCCCTAGCCGTTGATCACTTCGCAGAGCTGATCTCCGCGCATCCCCTCCGGCAGGAACTCCGACGGCAGCGAGAGGTAGATCGCGCCGTGCTCTGCCGGCGCCAGCGACGCGTCCGTCTCGAGGAAGGCCCCGTCGACATCCCCGATGGCCAGGGGAAACTTGGCTGAGGCGATGGTCTGGAGGACGAACGCCCCCCCATGTGAGGACAGCGTCGGGGCCTGAGTGCGGCCCGCCTTCACCAGCTCCAAGAGATCAGGATCCTTGAGCCCCTGGATGGTCTTCCTACACTTGACTACCACGTTGCCCTCCTCGCCCCCCTTCTCCGTCAGACCCGGTCGGAGCTTCATGATGCGATCAGGCTGGGTGGACCGCACTCTCCTCGACTCATCAAGCGGGAGGGGGCGCCACGCCTGGACCTTCTCGATCAGCTTGCTTTACTCCGTGGCGTAACCCTGCGCGATCTTGGCCAGCCCATCCTTGGAGCGCCAGCGCGGATCTCGCCTGTCGAGCTCTCTCCTGGCCCCTGGCCAGCAAGACCTCCTCCGCATCCACCGCCAGGATCTCGTCATCATCGTCTCTGTCAGGCGAGGCAGCGACAGCCAGAACTGACTGCACACGCTGCTGCTTGGGTCGCCCAGGCCGGCGAGCCGGCAGGCTTCGCTTCGGGGCGGAACTCGCCCTCGGGACCTGGGTCTCTGGGTCCGCGCTGCCTGGGGGCGCCGGCACCTCGCCCCCGACACGCGGGCGCTTCGCCTCCTCCACCGACGTCTTACCTCGGAGACGCTTCCGAGCCTCCGCCGGCGCGGAACGGGGTGCTGAGTGAGAATTGCCTGGAGCTCCGGCGGGCCCAGCGCTTCCCTGATCGTCGGGTGTTGAGTGAAAATTGCCTGGAGCTCCGGCGGGCCCAGCGCTTCCCTGATCGCTCTCCGCCCCGCCGTCAAGCCTGTCGTCCAGCTCGTCCTCGGGAACCAGGATCCCGGCGGAGTCGGCAGCAGGCGGCTCGGCTCCAGCTCGTGGCGGAGCCTCGGGCGGCGCCGTCCGCCGTCGCCCTCTGGGGCCTCCGGGGCGACCTCCTCTTCCTCGGCGGCCTCAGGCGGCCGAGCGTCAGCGGTGATGTCCGAGTAGAACTTTGCCTTCATGTCGCCCAGGTCGACGGTGTGAGTCCGCAGCGACGACTCCACCAAGCGCCAAGCCGCCCTCTCCTCAGAGTTAGCTGGGCGCAGCTGCTTCGGGGCGGCCTTCAGCACGCTGCCCGGCACGGCGATCCAGTAGTTGCCGCGGACCGCGCCCGTGCAGCGGTAGTGGGCCCGGCGCCCAGCCACCTTCTTCACGTTGCGCCAGACCGCCACCATGTCGCCAGGCTGGTACACCACGAGCTTGCGGGGCCGCGCGTCCAGGGCCAGGCGAGTCGCCTGCTTGTCGTTGTAGCTCAGGACCTGACGCCGATCCACCGCGCGAGCTCGGGCAGCGAACGCTGCCGGCGGGTCGTGCAGGACCGAGCTGTTCGCCACGATGTCCAGCGAGTCCACCAGCAGGTCCTCTGGCACCTCGGGGTTCCGCCCGAAGACGATTTGGGCCGGACTGACCCCTCCGACGCTCAGGAGGGATTTCTTGGTCTCCTGCACCTGTGCCACGCACTCGCGCCACTCCCCGCGGTCCTGCGGCTGGACCTCGGCGACGACTGCGCGCAGCATGTGGGCGAACCACTGCCCATGTCGCTCCACCTTCCCGTTCTGCTCCTTGGCGCTACCAGCCGTGTCCAGGATCGTCGTCCCGTCTCGCTCCATCGCGTTCGTGAAGGTCTTAGACACGTGAGGCTTCGCCGGGTCAAGGCGAATCCACTTCGGGCGCAGGTGGGGGCGAGTCTAGTTGTCTCGGTGCAGGCGCAGCAGGTCAGACTCACCTCCTCGTCGCCCTCGTCGAACGGCGTCATGGACTGCAGCGACGACGTGTCGCAGACGATGTTGAGCGCCTTGACGATCTGAGCGGGCATCCAGCCCGGAAGCTCCTTCACGCCCATGCCAATGGACCTCAGGGGGGCTGCGCGATGTCCGGAGCGGCCAGGCGCACCGCCTTCGGATCTGTCTTGACATCGCACTTAGGGCAGCGGAAATCCGCGGCCATCTTCAGGGCAGCCTCGGTCGCATTCGCATGGCGTAGATGTCTCATCATTGTTGGCACCGGGGCATGGCCGAGATTGACGTGCAGACGTCGCAAGTCCGCCTCGATGGTCTGCGGCCTGCCGTGGTCAGGTCGTCCCTGGTGAGGCGCCCCTTGCCCTCGATGTCCGCCTCCCCGTCATCCTCCTGGTCGTCTACCCCCATGGCCTCCGCCTCGCGGGCAGCAGTCTGGCGGACTTGGTTCCGCTCCTCCAGTCTGGCACGGTAGGCACCCCGCATCAGTGCCCTCGCCAATTTGTCTGGGTAGATTTGGGACCAGACCGAGCGCTTCATGCCGCCAGCGCTGTCCATCACATCCCGGTGCTCGTGGCCGCCGCGGCACTGGCGGTCCACCTCCTCGGCCACCTTCGGAAGGTCCGAGGCAAAGCGCCAGACCTTGGCGAGCGGCGCTCCCGACTCCAGGTCCAGCTTGCCGAACCTGCACGCCGCCGCTTCCGCAATGAAGGGAGAGAACTCCGACAAAAAGTGGATCATCTCCTTCAGGCCCCATGCCGATATCCCTCGGGACTGCTCGAGTATAAATGCTTCCCGCGCATCATCTGTCACTCCGCAATCACCAGGCACAAGACAATAACAGAGACAGCCTCCTGAACCTCTTGCTCGAACTTCTCAGGATCCTCGCGTTTGTTCTCGGTCGTGAGGGCCTGCAACGGCAACAGCTTCCCGCGTGGAGGGCTGCGCGACACGAGGAACGGGTCCTTGGTCTCTAAGTCGCAGAACAGCCGGGAGACGTCCTCGCGCTGCCGAGCATCCCAGCCTGTCTGCAAATCATAAGCTCCACCATCCTCAAACCCGAACTCCTCGGCCCACTTGGTCAGCCTCGGGGGGGCAAACACCTCCATGATGACAGGCTTCCACGGACTGGCCTGATTCACCACGCACGCCTCATCTGGGGCCTCAGAGCTACGACCCGGCCCTACCGAAAATCCCGGTCCAAGATGGGGACCGCGGACGAGCCGTCGAGCAACACCTCGTAGTGACCGCCGCGGGTCGTCTGGAGCCGCACGCGGACGCCCAACTTCTCGAACGCCAGCTCGTCTCTCTCCATGTCCAGCGTGCAGCCCAGCTTCTTCAAGAGGGGCTTGCTCAGGAGGAAGCCAGCCTTGCCCGAAACCACGTACACGTCTACCATCTCGATGTGGTCGCCGAGCTTCCACGGGATCTTGCAGATGCCTATGGAGTGCTGCTCGTCGCCGCTGAACCTCTTGAACGTGACGACCTTGTGGTCCTCAACGGTCTCGATGTCTTCTCCGGATACCTCGATCAGCTCCCGCGGCGTCTCCAGGCCGATGAGGGCCCTTGCGCAGATCACCCCAGCGCCCGGCGAGTGCACCATGAACGTCTCCGCCTCGTCCTCGTCGTCGTCGATCTCGTCCACCTCGCTGCGCAAACGCCAGAAGTGGTCCTCCGTCAGCTGCTCTCGGAGGCTCCGGTCATCCCACGTTGCCAGGATCTCCTCGATCTCACTCCAGGGGTCGGCCCCCTTTTCCTCTGCGAAGAAGCTCTCCACGAAACCGGCCCCGAACTTCTGGCCAAACGAACTCGCAAATCGGGTCTTGCCGCCACCTTTGCCTGATCGCTTCGGACACTCCTTACTGTCCTTACTGAAATGGCCCACCTGCTTGCATGCCCAGCAGCGGACCCGCGCTGAGAACTTCTTCAAGTCTGGTGCCGCCGGGGGTGGCAGGCCACGTCGCTTACGCTCCTCTGCAACTGCCACCCTAGTCTCCTTCCAGGTCGCCAGCACCTGGATGGCCTCGTCCTCCTCAATCGGTTCCTCCCGATCCTGCTCCACCTCAGCCAGGAAGGCGTCCTCCTCCTCTGGGGGGCCGACCGCGGGGGAATGCTCCTCGCTGGTTGCCTCCCGCGCGTAGTCGTCTTCCACCGACCCGCCAGGTGCGCGCCGTGCTCCGGCAGCACCTTCGGGTAGACTGTCTTCAGTGCCAGGGCCAGCTTCTCGAACGCCCACTGCCTCTCGCTGGCCGCGAGCACGAGTGCGCGCCTGTCTCCTCCCAGGCGCGCACCTCGAAGGAGAAGAAAACACTGGGCGACATCTGGGATCTCAACGCCCTCCTTCTTGGCCTTCACGAATATCGTCTGGGCCCGGCCCGCGCACGCGCTGGTGAGCTCCGCCTTCTCGATCTTCAGGCCGAACACTGACTCCAGCGCGTCTCCTACCCTGCCGGCCGCCCCCCGCTCGGGGTACCTCGCGCCCAGGACGGCCAGCTCGTCCAGCTCTACGTGCTCCAGAGCGCCCACGGCCGCCCCATCCAAGAGGGCATATAGCATGGGGCCGAAAGTCTCCGACTTGCCTCCGCGCCCCTTCTCCACTAGTAATCTCGCTCGTGCCCACTTCTTCCAAGCCTTGTAGTCTTAGACCGCAGCTGCTCCTTCTCCCGTGAATCGTCTGTCACGGATGCTACCACCTCCATTGCTGCCTCCGTCCGCCATGGCTGTACTCAGGGCGATTGGCTCAAGCTAGCGTCAAAGCCCGAGCTGTGATATGGGGCCCTCCGGGCCCTCAAGAGAATGTGTGAGGGCTAGCTTGTTCTCCTCTCGCGGGCCCCCACCGCGATGTCTCCAAACTAACTAGTGCCCAAACGGCAGCGGAGTGAGGCAAGAAGCACTGAATCAACAGGGCCTCTGGGGGCCTCTTGGGGGGCTTCTGAGGGGCCTCTGGGGGCTTCCTGACAGCTTCTCAGGCCGAGGGATCGAAATGTCCGTTCGGGTCCCCCGTCTGGGCTCCCTGTTGGAGCCGTCTTGGGGGCCTCCTCGGCTGTCTTGGAGGCCTCTTGGGCGGTCTTGGGGCCCTCTTGGGTCGTTGTAGAGCTCTCTTGGAGGCCTCTTGAGCCATCTTGGGGCGGTCTTGGAGGCCTCTTGGCCTGTCTTGGAGCGTCGGGAAGCTGACAAGGCGAGAATGTTGAAATATGTCAAAAACCTGCGGGAAATCTACGTTGTTTGCCCCTTGGGGCTGTTTTGGAAGTCCTCTTGGAGGCCTCTTGTGGCGTTTTGGAAACCTTTTGAGCCGTCTGGAGGTTACTTTGGCGACTTGGACCGGTACTTCCGCGATTCGGGGCCCTCGAAGCCATCTTGGGGACATTTGGGGGGCTTTTCTGGGCCCCCGAACTGCCGGGGGGGGAGTCGTATCTGCCCCAGGAACCTGCGGGGAACCCCCTGGAACCCCACCGCTGGGACCCCCCCACCCGGCGGGGAAGGAATCAAAGGGAAGGGGCTTCCCTTCGACCCAACTACAACGTTGCTCAATTTCGCTGTGGCTGGCACGCTCGAGGAGGCGGGCCTGGTGAAAGTGGGAGGACTGCGACGGGCTTAGGGTAAGAGGGGGGAGTGGCGAAGGCGACGACGACGACAACGAGAGCGACGACGACGACGACGACGAGCCAAACGGAACAGCCTCTTCCACACGCCGACAAGGTCGGCGAATTTCTGGAGTACCAGATTCCAATATGCTTCAAGCTCCTTCCTACTTCAATGATCGAGTGGCTTCACCTTTTCCGTCCTCCTGAGGGGGCGCACGGAGCCCAATCTTAGGGGGCCACATGCGAACCCGACCCCTATCCCCCACGATTTCTGAGGGGGAAGGTGTGGTTCACTTCGTTCGGGAGCTCAATCTACTGTCGACGCCTTCCTACTTCATGCCTCTACCTACTTTTCTTCCGGCCGACGGTGCGTCTCCCCGACTCCTTCCGGCGCCCCAGGTCCGCTCTCAGGGATCGGGGACGCCCATCGGAGGCGCGCAGACATGGATTAGCGATCCGTGGATTTAGCGCGCGGTCGCCAAATCCATGGATCAGGGGAGGTGCCCTCCCCAAAATGCGGCCAGTGCCGCCTGTTTCGGCGGCGGAAATCCGCGATTTCCCATGGAAACGGGACCCGTCGCTAATCCACGCCCCCTTAATCCATGTTTGCGATCGCCTGAGTCCAGGGGGGGGGGGGGGGGGGCTGATTCGGGGGATGTGGGCATCGTGGCCGGGGCCGTGATATCTCTTCGGATTTCGCGACCCCCCTCTCTGACTCCAGCACCCCCCCCGGGCTCCTCCCCGTCCGCGCACAGACCTCTGGCGCCATGACCTGCGAGCCCCCCTCTTGGGCGCCCCCGATCTCGGGGGGGCGCAGGCCTTGGATCGGGCCGAGCGAAAGGGGGGGATGGGGAAAGGGGGGGGTTCAAAATCTGCTGTATGCAGCTGGTTTCGGCCCCACCGAGGGGCCCATTCCTCGATACATGGGCGCCTCCGGCGCCGGGAGGCGCCGGGAAAATCAGCTACGTGAGCTGATTCTCAACCCCCCCCTTTGCTATCCCCCCCTTTCGCCCGGCCCGATTGGATTCAGGCTCAGGGTCGTGACGTTCCCGGCTCGTGGCTGGCGAGGTTCTCGAGCGTTCTGTCGTGGGCTCTCGGCCCTCCGGCCTCGGGGTGCGTCCCCCGAGCCCGAGTCCTGCGTCTCCCCGACGTCGGCGTGGTCAGCAGGTCTGGTGTCCCTCGGAGGTCCGCGCGGACCGTTCGTCGGGACCGGCGCCGAGCCCCCCGCCCCTGGCCCGGGAAAGTCTCACCATGGGGCGGAGGTGCGCCGACCCGAGAACTCCGCGCGGATCTCCAGAAGTCGGTGCTCGTGCTGCTCTACAGTCTAGGAGCTCGACCAGCAGAACCTGTCCACAGGAAGCCCATACCTGAGACCCCAGGGCGTCCATTGACTTGTGGTATGGGAACGTCGCCCTTGCCATAGCCAAACCATCGAAACCCAAGAAACCCACGGCACCCTGGAGGCAAGCAGGGTGTTTCTTGGCATGGGCCTCCACTGTATACGGTTTCTATCTGCCTCCGTCTCCCGCGCTCCGTGACACTCGTTTGACCCAGGGCTGGACTTCAACGCTGTTCTGCTGGACCTCGAGCCTCGTTCTGTGCTTCGTGTGTTTCGTCTTGGCCGGGCGGCCCCAGGGAAACAGGCAGACGGAGCGAAGCACAGAGCGGACAACGAAACGAAAAGCACCGTTCAGGTCCGGCCGTGACCGGGCTGGGGACGCCGAGAGGCACCGATGCCGCTGCTGCGCGGCTGCCCAGACCTCTTTGGGGGTGCGGTCGGGCCAGGACTTCGAGGCGAATCCAGCGGCGGCGACGAGGGCCCCCCAGGAGGCTCCACAAAAGGGGAAGACGAAGGAGGGGTAGAAGCAGCGGGCGACGGAGGGAGGAGGGAGGAGGGAGGAGGGAGGAGGGGGGAGTAGGGAGGAGGGGGAAGAGGACGGGGAGGGGGAAGAGGAGGAGGAGGAGGAGGAGGAGGAGGAGGAGGAGGAGGAGGAGGACGAGGAGCAGGATGAGGAGGATGAGGAGGAGAGGAGGAGGAGGAGGAGGAGGAGGAGGAGGTAAACCACTGGCTGAGGAGTGGGGGGGGCCGCCGCTCCCGCCCGCCGCCGCGCAGGGGCCTTGTCGTCGCCCCCTCGCCGCCGCGGCGGCCTCCCCCCAACGGCCAGGGCTCAGGCGTGCCGCCCGAGCCGCAGGACTGCGGCCGCGGAGGCCGCGACCAGCCGCCGCCACGCCCAAGGAGGGCGCGTGGCATAGGAGAGAACGTGAGCGTCGAGCACAAACTCGTGTGTTACTACGTCTTGCTGCAGCGCAGGACCTCCTGGGGAGGCACCACTGCGCGCAGCAGCCCCAGTGCCACCAACAGCACGCCATGACGCCGAACTGGAAGCAGCATCGGCCCCGCGGCGCCTCGAGGGAAAGGTGGTCAGGAGCACGGACCCCACACTTCGAGACGTCGCAGCGCGGCGCAGGGCAAAGGTGGACAGGAGCAGGGTCCACAGCCCAGGCGCCAGCGCAAGGCCCAGGGGAAAGGTGGTCAGGAGCAGGGACCACACACCCTGGGCCCGCTGTGGGGGAGCAACCATGGCCATGGCGGAGATCAGCGCGTAAGAGCAAAAGTTCCTGGAGCCGCTCTGAGTCGAGGAAGAAGGCCGCCGTCCACATCCAGGAGTACACCCTCAGCAAGAAGCAGCAGGCCATCGCCGACGCCGTGCTCGAGCTCCCGTATCCTATAGCCCGCGACCACGAGTCCTTCGGCCTCCCGCCAGGGGACCCCGACATGAGGAAATTGTGGACGAGGAACCTACAACAGAGGCTCGGTCGAGTTGCTGATCAGATCAACGGCGCGCGGTCCGCCAAGGCTGACGCCAGCAAACTCATAACGGAGGCCTCCGTGATCAAGTGCATGCTCGCGATGGCCACGGATCCACACGTTCGGCTACAACAATGTCGTTGTCAGATCGAGGCGCTGGCAAAAGAGCAGAAGGACATCCACGAGAAAAAGGAAGCTTTGCAGACCAAGGCCGGCGCCAACACCCAGCGCATCGCCGACTTGAAGCGCCTCGTCACGGACGTCAAGCTCGAGATTGCCGCCGAAGCCGACGCTGACTGTGAAGCTGACTCTGCGGGCGACAAAAAGCTGCACAAAACTAAAAGAGCCAACGCCCCATGTCGCAGTCGGGCCAGTCGAGATCCTCCATCCTCGCGCTCGAGCAGGCCGGCCTCGCCATCAAGCAGCATCGCAGAACAGCTCAGGAAGAAGGGCGAGGAAGCGCGCCGAGAATGAAGGAACCATGCCAAAATCTCCAATGCCGAGCTCCGCAAAAAAAAGACAGAAGAGTACGAGGAGGAGGTCGAAGCCATGCGCCAGTGCTTCGCAGAGATGAAGATGCAAAGTCGCGACAGGCTCGTGCACCACGAGCAAGCGCTCTCCAAGGCGGCTCTGAACGCCACGGAGCAAGCCATAGCAAGGAACAACGAGGTACTCCGCCGCCAAGAAGCACAGCAAGAGCACGTGTTCCAGCAGCGGGAAGAGCTCGTCCGTCAGGTCTACGCCGAGAAGATGCAGCAGGAAGCGCAGAGGATGGAGAACCACGAGCGCGCGATGAGGTACGACCTAGAGCGTCAGAAGCTCAACTACGAGCAGAAGCGCCCGGAGGCCCACCACATGCTCGACGCCATCCGCGCGGAAACGGCCGCCCAGACTTGCACCGCATGAACCTCCGAGGAAGCAGCCCGCCAGCAAGCACAGAGTGAACAACTCCATCGCGAGCGCGAACGCCTGCAGCGCGAGGGCCAGAGGATAAGAGCAGATGAACCAGGACCTTCGCCTCGAGGGGCAGGCCGCACATGTCACGGCGGCCCAGGAGATGCAAAGAAAAAACGACATCGCCGAGCAGATCGCGGAGGCCCAAGCGGACCTAAAGCGAGAGGAGATCCACCAAGAGCAAGTGATTCAGCAGCAGACGGTCATCG